CGAGCTCGCCTTGTAACTAGAAGGTTGTGGGTTTTCCAACCCCTGTGGTTGCGTACTGATAAAGAGTCCCAAACTAGGACGAAACAGCTGTCCAGTACTCCTAGGTCTTCTGATTGTTATCTAACTGATGTCAACTCATGATGAAATTCTCCAACCAATCAAACAAAATTCCCTACAAATCCAGTACTTGAAAATAATAGTCTTACCCCCGTCTTCACTTCAAAGGCTTTACTGAATTTCCTATTGTGAGTCGCCTGACATATGATACTGTCATAGATCTGTTGAATGAGGCTGATAAAGGTCTAAGGCAACTCGTAGTTGTTCAAGCAGCTTTCAAATTTTGTCGTGGTCAAAGCAATCGAATGCATAGAATATCATCAAAACTGGTGTTCGTTCCTATTTTTAAAAAATAACTTTTGTCTCTGATCCTCAAACCTATTGAAAACTATTTGGTTTTATTCCGGTGGAGTACACTTCCAGGATGGTTCTGTTTACAATTTATTGACAACTCTCAGACGTTTATTTTTTTTTAAAAAGAACTCAGTTGACAGAAATAGATCTGTCATGTCATTAGATGGTTGAAGGCAATCAACAGGAAGCCCTAATTGACCTGGGTTTCGAGCTAGTTGACACTCGTCAGCAAGGTGAATCTGGAACCTTGAAGAAATTCATTTCCCTTGTGAGATTCGAACCCACGTTACCCAGTGAGTGCTGCGGACAGAGACATTACCACTGAGCTACTCGGGCTCGAGACTAACTTCCTTGCTGACGACTGCCAACTAGCACAAAACCTAGGTTGAAGGCTTCCTATCGATTGCATCTAACCATCTAATACCAACAGTTCACAGTGCAATGTGATGGTGAGCCAACTAGCTTGATGGTGGTCACATTGTAAACTTGACTGACAGAATTCAATCTGCACCAAAGATAGGGCTAGACACATTGCACTATTTACTCACTAGTGTACAATCAAAAGAATTCAGACTGCAGGAAACAAAGGACTAAACACATGGCATTGGTTAGTGTCCAATTATAGATCTGTCATATGCAAAGATATGTCCTACAATTATTATTTAAAGAGTAATGATACTACTGAGTATTCTAGGTTGAAACACACGGAGCGGTTATCGAAATCGTAGGAGTCGAAGGCTTAAGTCAATTAGCCAATAGTAGCTTGTAAGTGTTCTACTGTCACGAATTTCTTCAAAAAGTTAATGAGACATATATATAACAGCCATCACCAACATATATCCATCGATATGAGCAGTCCTCCTTTACATATGGTTTGTAATGATTCCAGTGGAACTTTTACTTGTTAAAATTGCTACTTTTAAGTTTCCAGTCGATCGATTTATATTCTGAACTGCAGTGTTCTGTCTTTAGTGATATTTAGGCCCCTGGCTGGAGGGATGCCAGCTTATGCCGTCTTTGGCTTAGTAGACATGATATCCGGCTGGCTATCGACCAAAGGGCGTGTGTACTGCCCAGCAGTCCACTCCGTCCTCCTTTATGGCTATCTGTGAGACCTGGCCATTGAGAGTGGAAGACAGGAAAAGTCTGGCTAGCTGGCTGTCTTTGATCATAGGCGTCTGTGTTCTATCTCACCTGTGAAGTGGTATGATATGGGTGGGTAATATTGAGGTTGGGCGTCGAGTGCTAGGTAAGGAGGGGGAATCAATCGACAAGGCTGTGAAATTACATCGACTGAGATGGTTAGGATATGTGTTACACATGTCTAGTCATCGCCTTCCTCAACGGGAAATCTTAGTTGACATAGGGTCAGGTTGGAAAAGAGCTAGAGGCGGACAAACCAGAACATGGCTTCACCAGTCAATGAAATCTAAAACAATTAGTTTAAGCCACGTAGGAAGGTGTAGACTTCTTGACTGGTTGGGGTCCTTGGGACGGTAAAAACCAGTGACAGCTGGAGACAATTGGTGATATGGCCCAAAATGCTCGTTCTCAATGGCTGGCGCAAATGCATCCACTCCTTCTGACTTATAATTTCCAATGAAACTATATTGTTTTTCGACATTACTATTCCTTATGTCTCATATACCTCTTTACTGTCTCTATTTTGCATTTCTTCTCTTTCTTTGTATGCTATATGGAGGGAGTGTGGCGACTTGAACTGCCGCACATATGTGCAAAGTTCTATGTTGTAAAAAGACATACAAACACCTTGAGGGATTTCGACAACACTTTAACATGTTGATAATGACTAGCAGGGGAATCCAGGACATGAATTTCATCCTCTTCAGGACTCATCAACTGGGTGTGCCTTCATCTCCCTCACTAAGTAATAATGTCCCCATTGAGACAAGAACTGATCACTAAAACAGCTTTGTACACTTCTATACATAACCGACTGTGGTTGACTATTGTCAATAGAGGTTAAACACACCGTTATGCTTCGATTAACTATGACCAATAGATGAGTGAATATCCGCCTTAATTCTTTCCATTACTGAATGAATATTTAAAGAAATTAGCCCATAAATCTACGTAATATGGAGTGGACTTTGATAGGTATATGTAGCTTAAAACAAACATATAAATACCCCGAATGATGCGATAGCTTTCTATCGGCTGACTACCATTGATGTGATGGATGAAGTCGGAGATTTACTTAGCTAAATAATGACTAAGTCATAGCTCCCCTGACGCGATCAATCCATATTGCTAATGTATGTCAGAATTTGTCATTGAATACTCTCTTCTTCAAATAATCAATTACAAGAAAATCATCATTGAGGTAAAACTGAACACGTTTCACACAGTGTAGGAGTTATAAGCGTATAAAGTGAATTACTAAGGGATTTTGTCATAAACCGATTTGAATAAGTGAATTATTAAAAAAAATAAGGAGCATCTGCAGGAAGAAATGGAGGTGGATTGGCCATACCCTGAGAAAACAAACCATCAAGTGACATCACACACCAGGCCATCGCTTGATTGGAACCCGGCCGAGTGGGAAGAGGCGAGTTTGTCGTTAGTGCGTGGGTATGGTGACATGGAGGAGGTGATGCGAAGAGAAGAAACCATGTGGGCAGGTGTGGAGACAGGTGAAAATGTTGGCAGAGAACCGAACGCAATGGAGAAGCGTGCCTGAAGCCCTATGTTCCTCTAGAGACTAAAGGAAACAATAGTAATAATAATAAGGAGCGTCTGATGACAGCCATTTCGTCCTAGTTTGGGGCTGTATCATAGGAGGAAATAGCTATCCACTATTCCAGGGTTCTCCAACTTTCAAGTGTTGGTGGTCTGCATGGAAATCACTGATTTCAAGTTGGTTCACGAAAATGACATCGAAGTTAAAGAACTATTGAAAACCAAGGTGTAGGAGTATTGGACATCTGTTTCCTACTAGTCTGGGACTCTTCGTCAGTGTACGGTCATGAATCTACCAAGAATCGAATACAGCACCTTTAGGTTACGAAGCGAACCTACGCAACATGCAACCACTCAGACTGTATTCAGTGGACCGCTCGTGAATCGTATATATATATATATATATATATATATATATATATATATATATATATATAGGGGTCACGACACCTCATTAGGGGAACATTCCGTAATCAGTCACCATTGTCTACCTGATATGGTTTCGCACCTAAATCTACACTGAAATCCATTATTACGGAGAATTCCTACACTCCCTTTTATAAATATGAGTAGAGAAAGAACAAACAATGGTGCAGACAAGGAAGCCTTCACATCAGTGTTCTTTTGCTAATGTCTTGGATGGAGAAGCTTTGACCTATTTTGTATTGAAATTTATGCATTTAACTCTGTATAAATACAATGTCTAAAATCATTGACAATGTTTTCATCAAAGAAGTTAGTTAGATTCTGTTTTCAGCTTCGTCAATTCAATATACGATTTTGTTACATGTCTGAAATTTTTCAGAGAAAGGGGAAGTTCACACAAAAGAAGAAGGCTTTTTAAGAACTGATGAGGGGAACAGTATGACTGCACCAATGTTTGTTCTTTCTTTACTAAAATTACGAGAAAAACAATTTATTTGTTATACTTTAATACTCTCAATATTGATTAAATAGAGACTTCATTACTAATAATTCTAAAAATCTTTTTCCAAATCGATCTATTCAGCATATATACACCTTGCTCTGAGATTAACTTGCAATTCTAATTTTCAGTCAGAATTTCATTTCACTGATTGAATCTCATAATTCCAAAAGGGATCACCCTTAAAAATCAATGTGCGTACTCATTTACACAATTTTCATACGTTCAGATTATTATTATTAGTGTTGTTTCCTTTAGTTCCTAGAGGAACATAGGGCTTCAGCTGCACGTCTCCAATGTGTTCGCTTCTCCACCAACATTCTCACCTGGCTTCACGTCTGCCCACTTGGCTTACATCTCCTCTTCACATGACCTCCTTCATGACGACCAACTTGTGGTCAGTAAGTTGCGTCTCCACTTCCTTGAGCAGCATTGAGATGAAGTCAATTTGGTTTTTAGTTCGCCCGTCTGGTGACACACTCATGTAGCCTTGTTGTCGATATCCTTGTGCTCGTATACGCTGCCACCAATCACTAGTCCATTAAAGGCACAAAAGTCAAAAAAGAGTTCTTGGAAAACTCACCAGTCGTCACACGATTGGTCCAGAATCGACTTCCGCTTAGTTTGCCAGCCAGTAGCAAACCCTCCCCCTTCTCAAAAAAAAGGAATGTATAAGGCATGAGGTTGGTAACACCAACCTCTACTGAAACTACGAAAGCTTATATCCCTTTGTTCCACTCAGAAGGCATAGGGGAAAAACAAAAAGGGTTTATTTCCCTACCCACCCACCCACCCCCACCATCATTACACACTAACTTACAAGAACTGGAAGTGTTGACCGCAAAATAAAAACATAACAAACACAACAAAATTAGTTTTCGACTATATTTGTTTTAGAAAAATAATAATAATAATAAATAACATATACATGTATATACAAAGTCCTCTTATGTACAGATTAACATTATTCCGTCGGAAGATAGAATTTCAACTGTGGAATTTTACTACACAAAGGTTGTAGCACATCAGACATTAAATTCGACTGCAATAGGATAAGATATTTAAATATGCCTTTTATAAGTGATGAATAGGCTTCATTCGGTTCACTTCCTAACGGATTATCATAGGATAATAAATCAATAAATGCAATAATTGGTGGGATAAGTTGAGGTAGTAATGTAGGAGAAATTATTGGCCAACATAGCTGTATAAATTCTGTTACAGATTGTAATACAAGTACATAGACCGTATCATATTCCTCCCGTTGTTCATCGGTTTTCGAAGTGATGACAGTCTAAAAGTAGAGAAAAGAAAGAATGAAAGTGAGGTGGTGAAAAGCAACTCTGTTTGAAGGATATATATATATATATATATATATTAATATTCAGGATGTGCATTTCGTCCGATTTAGGACTCGTCATCTAGATGTACCTGCATTTCCCAGTGAGTGATGATGTTCTCACCACCGAGGCTCGAACTCAGTGTCCATAGTTTCAAACACCAAAGCGAGTTATCCACTAGACCACTTGGGCCACAAGAGCCACCTCTTGTGCAACGGGTCATATTAATTCAATTGAATTTTTAGATTTTCCCGTCGATTGGTTGGACCGAAGTGCTCGGTCTCAGGTTGACATGTCTGTTGGCTTCTTGTGCAGATGCTTTGACGATGTTTGGGCATTTAATTAGAATTTAGTTTGTGGATGGTGACCAGATGTGCGCATCAATTTAAAAAAAATGACTAATATATTTTAATTGTTCTAAAATGTCCATTGAAAATTTACAAGACTAATCAATAAATAATGAATATTTTTTTCGACAACTTCTTCATTAAGTTCTTCATTTATATGACAATAATAATAATTAAAGAATTGTTGCTATTAACAACATTAAAGCGGTTGTAAATTACATTAAATCAATCAACGGCATCGACAGATTACAGTTCATGTTAGATGATTAGAGGCAATCAGCCCAACAGATAGCTGCTACCTTGACGTGTTGGTCGGTGGGCTTGCACATCGCAATGACCTAACAAGCTACACTGGCTGGAACTATTGTTCCTGCAGGTCCTACCATACTAGGAAGGTTGTTCGAATAGCGATTAGACTAAAAGCAGTTACCGGAATAGTGTAAGAATTTTTTTAACGCTATGCTGGGGTCTGAGGGCGAAGTTGTACTGCTGGGGAACAGGGGTGTAACAGCAGTGAGGTGTTTCCTTCAGATGACCAGCATGCCAGCTATGCTGTCTCTCCCCTTTACGGAGAGGGGGTTAGAAAAGGTCGACCCTAACAATTGTACATCCCGACTTACCCTACGGTGGTCCGTAACCGGCGGTAAGTTTACTAATATGGAACCAAACCAAGAAACCAGTTCATACAGGCCGTGTGTGACTGGCCTCAAACAGTTGTCTCCTGGGCTCCACGGTCACGCAACACTAACCATCTTTCTGTTTCAGGTACCTGAAGGTTCAACCGACTTCCACGGTGTGGGCAGCCGGGAAGTAACAACCGCCCAAACACTTTCAAGAGCACACGAAGCCTTGGCTAAACCTAGGTTTCGTGCTAGCTGGCACTCGTCAGCAAAGCGCATCTGCAACCTCGAAGGAACTCATGTGCCTTCTGCGATGCGAACTCGTGTCACCCAGTGCTGCAGTTAGAGACGTTACCACTGAGCTATTGGGGCTCGCGACTGACCTCCACCGTGATGGTGAGCTACCCAGAATGGTGGCCATATTGCAGACCTGACTGATAGAATTCAGTTTGAACCAAACAAAGGACTAGATACGTCACACTAGTTATTAGTGTCCAATGAAAGATTATAGTTCACCAAAAGTATCAGTAAGAGAGAGAGAGAGAGATAACATGCATTAATATAACATTAAACTGACTATCAGATAAATTAAGATAATTTATAGATTCGACAGCAGACTAGACCTGTTCCCCCTGCACGCAGAGCTCTGGATGATTTAAGCGAACTGCCACGGCAGTTGATAGATACAAAAAACGTTTAATGCCAGAAAACTGCAGCTTACATTTTCTACACAACCGATTGGAATTCCGAAACTGGAGAACGAAATACCTAGGCTAGCCACTTCTAATTGTACCTATCAGTTCATCTGTTTCTGTGGAGCCACACATATTATCTGTTGCTCTAGGAACCTAATTTTTCGTGCTCGGGAACACCACACTTACTGGCGTGGATAAATATAGGCATTGTTAAAGCCGTAAAGACTTCTATGCGAGATCACCGTGTCCAAACAGGCCACAAAGCTAGATGACCACATTGAGGAGTTTCTCTCTGCCAGCCATCGGGTATCGAATAAACTACCAAACGCCTCTAGATACCGAACACTTCAAATAGCAGAGGTCACTGTGATTCGCATAAATCAACCGGAGCTCGATGTGCAAAAGAGGCAAGTTCAGTCACTTTTGCTACCCTCCTGAACTGCTGTGGAACGTATAAACTTATAAATTCTGTGTCACTTCCCTTAATTTGTCTGATATTCATTCAGTTTAGTGTTATATTAATGCATATTATCTCTCTCTCTCTCTCTCTTACTGTTGCTTCTGATATGCAATCACCTATCGATACTATTGATTCAGTGTAGTTTAAAACACAGCATTAATGTTGTTAATAAGAATATTTCTTTAATTATTACTGTCATATAAGTGTAAAGCCTGATGAAGAAGAGTCTATCGAAAAGAAGAATATTGATTATTCATTATTCAGTCTTTGTGTAAAACACGAATAAGTAAATTTTAGTCTAGACGAAGCATAAAAAGGGTTACACCAAGACAATATGAAAAAAATTAGTGTATTTGAACAACTGACACTCGTTGCGCAGGAGGTAGTCGTTTGAAACGATAAGTGATGTGTTCAAGTCTAAATACAAACATCATCAATCATCAGAGAAGCAGGTGTGACTGACTGACTGTTTTCAACACAGAACTTTCCAACGATGTGCAGCATTGCAAGTCGCCACACTCCACGCACCACACAAAGCAAGAGAAGAAATGCAAAACACAGACAGTAAACAGGGATATGAGAAAAAAAAGAAGAGTATTAACGAAGAACAATAGAGTTTCATTGGAAATCATAAGTCACAGGGAGTGGATGCATCTGCGACAGCCATTGAAAACGATGAGTTTGAGGCATATCACCAATTGTCTCCAGCTGTCACTGGTTTTTACCGTCCCAAGGACCCCAACCAAGAAGTCAATCTACACCTTCCTACGTGATTGGCTTAAACTAACTGTTGTGGATTTCATTGACTGGTGAAGCCATGTTCTGGTTTGTCCGCCTCTAGCTCTTTTCCAACCTGACCCTATGTCAACTAAGATTTCCCGTTGAGGAAGGCGATGACTAGACATGCGTAACACATATCCTAACCATCTCAGTCGATGTAATTTCACAGCCTCATCGATTGATTTCCCCTCTCACCTACCTAGAACTCGACCGAGGCCTAACCTCAATATTGCTCACCCTATTACACCGACCACTTCACAGGTGAGATAGAACACAGACGCCTATGATCAAAGACAGCCAGCTAGCCAGACTTTTCATGCCTTCCACTCTCAATGGCCAGGTCTCACAGATAGCCATAGAGGAGGACGGAGTGGACTACTGAGCAGTACACACGCCCTTTGGTCGACAACCAGCCCGATATCACGTCTACACCAGAGACAGCGTAAACTGGCATATACCAAACAAGCCTACTGTATCTGTACTGAGATTTCGCCAATCCGTTGGGACTGATGGTACTTCCCAAATAAGTGAAGCGGTCACAACACGCTCCGCCAACCACTTTACTTCCTATTTCTTAGCTAGGAGTCAATGTAGTCCAGTCCTGTAGCATTATCTTACATTTGACAGGAGCGAATCGCATACCAAGCATTCTAGGATTGCTGCACAGCTCAAGGTGTTCAGAAGACTCTGTTCTATTCTGTCAGCGTCTTCACCTAGGAGGGAGGACTATATCATATGCATATTCTAAGTCAAGCAAATGTACATTCAGTTGACGAATCCTAAATAGGATGAAACGAGTATCCTGGACCGTACTAATATCCAACATCGACCAGATAACATCATGTTTACCTCAAAGGGTCCCTATTTTGGAAGCCGATGTGTCAACAGAGACCGAACATTTCTGTCGATGAAAAACCGTCAATCAACGAGAGCCACAAACAGAAATGCATACTGTTTATTCAAAACAAGTTACTAATGATGACTAAAAAGTCAACACAGACATCAACATGAAGCGATATATGTTACACAAGCAAAATTGTGTCATGTACTACGGACAAGATGCAGATTGACAGTAGGAAGAGGCCAAAGCTGAAATCTACACTTTAGGTCAGTGGCTGGCTCAGAGGTACAAGTGTTTATTCCTCAGATTTGGATTTAGTTTACGATGTGAACACGAAATAGACTCCTTGGACAACTTTTTGTCACATTGTTTAACCAGTGCATATATTACACATGATAGGCGGCACTCGATTCTGTCGACCAAAAGGTACTCTGGCTATGCTCGGCCGTCGACAAAATACATTACACTGATTAAGGCACTCTACTGGAACTGAAGCAGCCAGGTGACGGCTTACGGTGAGTTGTCATCTGAAGTGGTGACAACTAGTGGTGTCCATCAGGGATACCCATTATCCGCATTTCTATTCAATTTCATCATAGATGTACTAATGGACTTAACCCTAACTCACATCAGAGACTCAGGGATCGACTTGCTACCAAAGAATAATCTCGTTGACTTAGAATATGCATATGATATAGTCCTCCCTCCTAGGTGAAGACGCTGACAGAATAGAACAGAGTCTTCTGAACACCTTGAGCTGTGCAGCAATCCTAGAATGCTTGGTATGCGATTCGCTCCTGTCAAATGTAAGATAATGCTACAGGACTGGACTACATTGACTCCTAGCTAAGAAATAGGAAGTAAAGTGGTTGGCGGAGCGTGTTGTGACCGCTTCACTTATTTGGGAAGTACCATCAGTCCCAACGGATTGGCGAAATCTCAGTACAGATACAGTAGGCTTGTTTGGTATATGCCAGTTTACGCTGTCTCTGGTGTAGACGTGATATCGGGCTGGTTGTCGACCAAAGGGTGGGTGTACTGCTCATCAGTCCGCTCCGTCCTCCTCTATGGCTATCTGTGAGACCTGGCCATTGAGAGTGGAAGGCATGAAAAGTCTGGCTAGCTGGCTGTCTTTGATCATAGGCGTCTGTGTTCTATCTCACCTGTGAAGTGGTCGGTGTAATAGGGTGAGCAATATTGAGGTTAGGCCTCGGTCGAGTTCTAGGTAGGTGAGAGGGGAAATCAATCGATGAGGCTGTGAAATTACATCGACTGAGATGGTTAGGACATGTGTTACGTATGTATGCCTAGACATCGCCTTCCTCGACGGGCAATGTTAGCTGATATAGGGTGAGGCTGGAAAGGAGCTAGCGGTGGTCAAACCAAAGCATGGCACTAGTCAATAAAATCTACAACAGTTAGTCTAAGCCAGCCACGTAGGAAGGTGTAGACTGGCTTCCTGGTTGGAGTCCCCGAGACGGTAAAAACCAGTGACAGGTGGAGACAATTGGTGATATGCCTCAAACTCATCGTTTTCAATGGCTGTCGCAGATGCATCCACTCCCTGTGACTTATGATTTCCAATGAAACTCTATTGTCCTTCGTTATTACTATTCCTTTGTCTCCCACCTCTGTTTACTGTCTCTATTATGCATTTCTGCTACTTTCTTCTCTTGCTTTGTGTGCTACATAGAGGGAGTGTGGCGACTTGAACTGCCGCACATATGTACAAAGTTTTATGTCGAAAACAGACAGACATTACACATGATAACCAGATTGTAATGGAGTTTTGACTTTTTCGTCTAGGCGTCCCAACAACGGCAACTATAAGACAGTCTACATTTCTACATGCGGCTCTGTTCCAATGCCATGGCATTGATTTAACCATCTCTAACTGTTTTCCAATCGATGTCTATGTCAGCTAAAACTACTCCACGATGAAACCGACAGCTTCACAATCTGACCGATTGGCTTGGCTCCCCCCTCTCTGCCGCCTCTTACCTAACCTCAATGTTACTCATCATATTATACCACTTAAAAAGAAGCAATTATAAATGGAACAATGTAATATAATAAAATAAAACTAAAACTTACATGTTTAAATTTTCGTGGACCAAGTAAAATACTTGATACAATTTTTAAAAATTGTTCAGTATACAGTGAAAAAGATGCCTTCAAAATATGAATCAATTTTAATAAATGTCTGAGTAGAACAATTTGACGCTTATATCGACTTTCCATTAACAGGTCGAACAGTAATCGTTCCGTTATTTTATCATACCAATGAAATGATTTTGACTTATCCAGCAGATTTGTTAACACTAACATGGTTGAGTAGACTTCATCAAGTAATAACTCAGATGATTCAGGACTGCTAGCGATTCTATGATTTAACAGTTGGGAGATAACTGCTTCCCCTCGATTACTTTGTCGCCAATCAGCTATTCGAGCCTTGCAGGCTAAATTGTAGAGAAGTTTAAGACCAGCTAATTGGATACATGGACGATAATCTTCTGTAAGTCTTAAACCTAACGGTTGTAAGACAGAGATGAATTCATCACCAGCTAATTCAGGATAGTCAAGTTCTATAGTTAACCAGATAAGTGTATCACGAAATAAAGGTGAACGAGTCAATGGGTCATCTGACGACTTGTTAGATGCTTTTGTAATATGAATAACACAAAACTTTAATATTTGTGAAGCTAAATTGGCAGAAGCATTCAATTTTTTATATTGACTAGGCTTTAATAGTAATAACTTTCTGATAGTTTCTACATGACATCTACTCATCAGGATGTGTAGAATCTCGTTAGCAAGTAGATTAAGGTTGTTGTTGTTGCTGTTATCATGCAGTTTACCAGTGGTATATACATTTCCAAGAATACCGCCTAAAAGGATAAGAGTAGGCAGCAGCGGTGCATAGTAGTCCACTTCTGATTGACTGGCAAGTATATTTTTAATATCTGTACAAGTATCCAGGTAGATTTGAATTCGTTCATGCCATAAAGAATCTGGAACTTCGCCTTCGTGTAGTTCAAGGTTTGATGATTCAATAACAGCCTTAGACTTGACAGATATTTCATCAGAAGACATTATGAGAATGCTTACAAATGAATATATTGAGTAGGATCTGTGTTAACTTGGAAATACTTTTTAATGGTTGTTTATTTAACGTCTACATTATTTTCTAGAGTTTTGTAGATCGATAGATAGTTGCCCACTAAAATGAAAAAAGAAAAGGTAACTAAGCGGATTATTCAAATATATATATATATATATATATATATATATATATATATATATATATATATATATATATATATATATATATATATATATATATATATATATATATATATATATATATATGGTATACTCCAATAAGTTACTTTCGGAAGTCAGACATTCATTCATAATACAAACTCTCATTATAAATGCGAAGAAAGATCTGTTTCACACTTTCTTTTCAAAACATCACACATGTGTAATTTAACAGTAGAGATTAATAAAACTGCTCCTCAAAGCGTTCTTTCCAGCGCTGCAGTCGTCTATCCCAGGAGCTAATTATGGTGCCATTTTTCCCAGAGATTGTTTCACTTATCATTTGCTTTTCAATACCACCTGCTTCCCTGATAAGCTTAAATAGTTGTCTGGTGTTACCGGTCTCTGATACCTTTTCCATTTCTTTCGCTTTTGTCGCCCCCACCCCCGCCCCACTGTTCACGGTCGTTACGAAGACTTCTTGTTAGTTTGCGTTTGAGTAGCTTTCGCTCCTCATCATAATCGGAGCTCACCGGAATCAGTCTTCTTGAGTCAATCAGTTTGGATGAGGCAGTAGAGATCCAGTAGCTCTTACAGAGATTAATAAATAAGTTACAAGTACAAATTCAGAAAACATCATGATGAATTATGGACTTTCTTCTAATATAAAAAAATACCATGTTATTTCAAAATAATCACTATAAAATATGACTATCAGTCATAACGTTTGTACAGGTTTGACATTAGCTGATATCAGTTAGACAGCTGTCGGAAAACCTGGGAGTACTGGACGACTGTTTCATCCTAGTTTTGAACTCTTCATCAGTACACACCCGCTGGGGTTCAAATCTAGGGCCTTCCGGTTTCAAGGCGAGCTCGTAGACTATCCAGTCATTGAGACCTGACCTAATAACCCATGAATTCTAACGTCTGCTAATTCACGAGATATATATGTATAAACAAAGGATTCAGAAAAGAAAATTCTCTTTTCGACGAATACATTTTCACAGCTGAACAATCATATATATATATATATATATATATATGAATTACAGTACACAATAACAATCAGTTTTCTTGTGTGTTAAAGTTTAACAGTGAGTCGAAATACTAAAGTGCTATATTAAATATTGGTATATAGGATTATGAGTCACAATTGATTAGACAGATGGATGAATAACTAAATATATATAGAGGTCAACCTAAAGTTCAATAGTCATGTGTGAAATAGATGATCGGATAATAAAGTACATTCGGGGATGTGAATATTATATGATGGAGACATAAGATGGTGAAATGTTGTCAAAGTAGTGTCATCCCTAAATTCTAAGTTTAGGAGCAACACTTTTTTAGCTACCTTGTCAATCTCTGTATTTCTTCCACATGACTTTCTATTGGTCTCCACGAAGCATAGTGGATACCCGTTCTCTATGAGGGTTACTTTTAGTTATTCGAGTCTAGGATCAACACTATCTTCACTATAAATCCTCCAAACCCATGTCGAAAGAGAGAGGGTTAGATTCCTTTTCCTGTGTATGGGGACAAAACTGTAAAAATTGGTCAGTTTTCCTGTCCACGTCGATTTTCTGTGAACAGATTTTTCAAAAAGACCGACCAGCTTTCCCTGTGAGTAGCACATCAAGGGAAGATATTTCACTTTCAGTTTCTTTTTCTAAGGTCAACCGGATAGCGGATGACTGTCATTGAATACCTTTAGGATGCCATTCAAGTTGCATATATATATATATAGCGCAATATTTATATATTAACAGTAACTAACCGGTATTATCACCATCCTATGACATCCACGTATGGTGACAAAACACACCGATTACATGTCTCACAACACCATTAAACAACAGCAACAGATCAGAGCCAGAAATGTCAGTTTAAATGTGTATTTTTGAAAGTAAGTAGCAGATTCATTAGAGAAGATGCCAAATGCCCTGCTAAGTTGTAGGTTTTATACAATCGAGAGATTCCAAGTAACATAATATGGAGATATTAATCAAGCAGAAAGTAAAATTCAGCATGTTAATATATGCGTAAAACTTGGGCACTGTGGTACTAAGTTCTGAGTTTTGAAAAACTCAAATCTCAAAGTCGTGTGACCACAATTGATATGATTATGAACAATAAATTGTGTTTGAAACGTCATCCAGTATACAATACTGTTTCACTGTGTGATACATCTAATAAACAAACTAATATGGAAGTAAAATTCAGCAAGCGAACTGGGTGACATAACACAAATGACAGAATTGAGCAGGGTTCAAATACAATTGAAAGGGGGACAACTCAAAATCGGTGTCATAATGAGTAGAAATGCAATAGCAGGAAAGGAATAAACTTTACACGTTAAATATTGAGACAAATTAGGTCAATTATAAGTTCAGTGACTGAATACATTTCTGCATGTACAGATCAAAATTTAGCATGTGAATTGTCATAGATTTTGCTTCGTAAGGCTTTGGCAAGATTTCTGCGTACTCTGTAAGTAACCCTGGAGTTGATTTGCAAGTTCGTTTAGGGTCTAGGACCCATCAAGTGTTTCAGAATGAAGCTGCTTCTTTGTAATTTCTTCGACATATTATTCAAAGGATTAATGTGGTTTTGCTTGTAGATCACCGACTGAATGAACTCAGTAATACGTGATTGAATAGCAGCAATGTGGTTCAGTGTATGACACTTTCGTGTATTTGGTATTCGGTTGAATGTGATTGTGTCTTAGTAATTTGCAATAAAATTTTGGACATTCATGCCAACCTAAAAATGATGTCACATAAGCCTTTGATATGACTTTATAATGCTTTTCAAACCTTCTAAACGTTGCGAAGATCCAGTGACAGTGAATGAAAAAACGGATTTCTGCGCTATTCCGTCAAGTTTACATTAACGAAGACAAAGATACATTTCTGAATGTTTACATCGAAACTGCCTGTCTGTCTGTTTTCGACATAGAACTTTGCACCGATGTGCAGCAGTTCAAGTCGCCACACTCCCTCTATGTAGCACACAAAGCAAGAGGAGAAAGTAGCAGAAATGCATAATAGAGACAGTAAACAGAGGTGGGAGACAAAGGAATAGTAATAACGAAGAACAATACAGTTTCATTGGAAATTCTAAATCACAAGGAGTGGATGCATCTGCGCCAGCCATTCCGAACGATCACTTTGAGCCTCATCACCAATTGTCTCCACCTATCACTGGTTTTTACCGTCTCGGGGACTCCAACCAGGAAGCCAGTCTACACCTTCCTACGTGGCTGGCTTAGACTAACTGTTGTAGATTTTATTGACTAGTGCCATGCTTTGGTTTGACCACCGCTAGCTCCTTTCCAGCCTCACCCTATATCAGCTAACATTGCCCGTCGAGGAAGGCGATGTCTAGGCATACATACGTAACACATGTCCTAACCATCTCAGTCGATGTAATTTCACAGCCTCATCGATTGATTTCCCCTCTCACCTACCTAGAACTCGACCGAGGCCTAACCTCAATATTGCTCACCCTATTACACCGACCACTTCACAGGTGAGATAGAACACAGACGCCTATGATCAAAGACAGCCAGCTAGCCAGACTTTTCATGCCTTCCACTCTCAATGGCCAGGTCTCACAGATAGCCATAGAGGAGGACGGAGCGGACTGATGAGCAGTACACCCACCCTTTGGTCGACAGCCAGCCCGATATCACGTCTACGCCAGAAACGGCGTAAACTGCCATATGCGAAACTAGCCCTCTGTATCCGTACTGAGATTTCGTCAGAGATCAACCCGTTGGCACTGGCTAATGGTACTTCCCAAATAAGTGAAGCGATAAATAAGCGGTACTTCCCAAATAATAAGTGCTCTAACACTTCACTCCCTATTTCTAAACTAGGAGTAAGTCAATGTAGTCCAGTCCTGTAACATCATCTTACATCGAAACGATCATTGAAAACTGCATTGGCAACTAGCAAGACGTAATCACATTCAACCCAATACCAGAACACGAAAGTATCATACACTGAACCATCTTGTTGCAATTCAATCACGTATTGCTCAACTATAACGGAATATCCACTTGAGACTTCATGCAGTCCATGATCTAGACGTAAAACCACATTAACCCGTTGAATAATATGTCAAACAAACTTCAAAGAGGCATTGTCGTAATACCAAATCAGATCTCTACTCAAGAATCTGTAGGCAACTGACTATATGGGAATTCGATTTCTAAACAATCCAGAGAAGTATGTATTCAATTTTTAAAACACCGAGTTTTCAACAGTCCGAATGAGGACACTATCTCTAGGCACGGAATTCTGTATAAAACCCTCACATATCCAAAAACCTGGTTATCACGTACATTTCAAAAATCTGATAAATCAAACCTATGATCTAGAACCAAAATCTGAAAAGCACGTACAACCTTTCAAATTAACAGACACTAACAGTTTATAAACCCAAACCAAACGACAAGTCGATAGTAATCAAACATTATTGCAACTTAAGGAGTCGATAACCAATAAAGAGACCATGTTGATAAACCCTGATAAAGGTGAACGAATTCTGGTGGTGGATAAAACGTTAACTATCCTACCTGATGAATCAAAATTTACAAAACCAACCGATGAAAAGATGAAAGAGAAAGTTGACAATTAACCGACCGAACAACTCACTGACACAGAAATCTTAGAATCCCTCAGAACATCTAGTCTAAATATACACCGAAAGTACACAGGTCAGATACACCTCTTTTTCTTACCCTTGAACATGACAAATTCACCTTACCACTGCATTACTCAGTGGTCAGTGTACCTGTCACAGGTAATCAAAAGGCAATCTCC